TCACTGAGTCAGGTTGTGACACAAGGTCGTTTTTTTAACCAATCAGGCTGATGGTCTCAGCTTGTCTTGGCTGGTCTTAGCTGGTCATAGCATGTCTAAGCTGGTCAGTGCTTGTCTAAGCTAGTCATAGCCTGCCCGATACGTAACAGATGTCACGCAGCGGTGGGAGGAATGCAAGTTAGGATAGAAGGCCTCCGGCACGGAACAAATACTACAACCGCAGCATCTGCTCCGACGGGGAAAAAAAACCCTTCTCCTCCTCTGCCAATGGTTCTGACAGAATCCGGAAGGAAAGCACTTTTGCACAAATGCTCACGTGCAACCTGAACAGAATTTACAAAATGGGCAAAGTCATATACAGAACAATTTTGTAATATGCATCGCAATTCACACGTTGGCTCCAAAAGCCATTGTCATTCTTACGAGAATTAAGATCATAGATCAAAGAATCGACAGCTATCATACTATAGATGCACATTTTATTAAAAACTAACTAAAGTTCCTTACTAAATATATATCTAGTTCTTCACTGCTTTTAATCATTTTTCTTACTTCCGGTTCGCATTTGTAAATGTATCTTCTCATATCTAAACACTTTCGCCTAACACTAGTCATGAAATAAAAATGTTTTTCTTGATATTTATGCCATAATTTTAATTTTTTTTTCAAAATATTGCATTTGTCATGTGGACTTTTATTAACATTTCGCCTACAGTCGTGAGAAATCTTTTTTTCGTATTTTTCGCATGAATACACGAAACGGGATAAAGGCCAACATACGAAATGCGACATTAAGAAAATTAAACTGGCGACATAACAAGCAATAAACGTCTCTGAAAATGGTTAGGGTTAGTCGAAAATGCTTAGACATAAAGGGTGCGATGGATAAATTGTCCAAACACTCAAAAATGAATGTAACGCTGACATCACATTTTAACAGATATATTTACGAAAATTACACAAAAATATCTTGAAATACTAAAGACTAAGTCTATCCAATAAAATCGTCATGGCATGGGCTTCTATCACGACTTCGGAATCTGCTGCAACTCTTCTGGATGATCTCCTTGTTTTAGTTGGTGAATGTTGCCATAATCTTTGCCTTCTGTTCATCTTTGGTGTTACGAGGAATTTCCTTGGCTTCTCGCTCAACTGCGCCAAACACATAATAAAGAACTGCTGAATTTTTTGCTGAGGGCCTCAGACTCAACATTGTCCTTAGATTGACAAATAAACACTTTAAACTGAAGCGTCTTGTTATCAAAGACCGAATTCGTCTTTGTGGATGAATGGGTAACAACACATCAGATCATATGAGAGTTCCTATCAGGGTTACAGGTTCGACTCCTGTCGGAGAACGCATATTTTCTACGAGATTTCTTGAACATGCAGGCCGGTAAATGTAAATAGTACTGTTTAATTAAAAACGGAGCATTTACTTAAAATAAGTTGTATCTATAAAAATAACGTCTAAACAGAAAAAAACATATGTTGAAAAAATGTATGACAAAATGAAAAAGTTTTCGTATGACGCGTTTTCTCTTTTGGGATTTCATCGGACTGAATTTGTTTGTGTTTTTGTGTTTATGGGAAAACGATATATAAATCATTATATATCAAGAACAATTTTAGCGAAAAAATGGCATAATGGAAAAAAATTTCGTGTGACTTTATTCATGATTAAAATTATGCGACTACACATGCCCACGAACTGACGTCTAACAGACGTGGTGTGTGGTCTAAATGACTAGTCGAGATACAAAAATTCTAGAGTATCTTTTTATTTACAAGGAAAAGCTATAGTCTGTGCTAATACCATTTATTTGCAGGGATGAACTTAAATCAGTTCCTACTCTGTCCTGTCTATTTCTGTATTATTTGGCCTTTTCTCTCTTTTTTCGTCATATTACTTTGTTTAACAGATGATGCTGAAGAAAATGGCGATAATTAGGAATGATACGATAATTTCGACCCTTACAAGTACGTTGTTCGTTTCATAACCATAGTTTTCCAATTACTTTAGATATACAATTACAATATTCCCGAAATTATGTATATAATTACATAGAACTGAGTGAATGTATACAAATGATAAACAAATACAAACTTAACGAAGTCCATTTACATTTCTCAGAAAAGAAACTCAAATCAACATATTTAAAATTCAAAGAAGCAACAAGAATGCCAATTGCAACCGATTTTAATCGTACTGTAGAAACCGGTTATGTACATAACAAATTAATTACATGTTTTGCTACGAATGATTCAATAACGTTTCCTGATAAATTTGAAGGATACAATTAACTGGAAAAGGAAGGAAAGTGTAGCAAAACAATTCAAGAGAAAAGCAAAACAAAGGTGAAAAGTTTATCCTTTTAATCACAGAATGCATTGGTTGAAATGCTAGCCTCAGTTCTTTGGTCAATAATCAAATTACGTTTAACCTTCTTAAACTTGTTTGAAATATCTAATCAAGAGTAAGCCAAGAATTAATAATTATGCCAATATAAAATATGACATTGGACTGACTCCTCGGGGAGTGAGGATTAGTAAGCTACTATTGCAACTACATTGAGCTTGATTCTTACTGTGAATTCCATACATGAGACCTTAGACCATATTGCAGACCTTTCTTTGACTTTTGTCAAGTACCTCGAGGTGAATAGCAGGAATACCATACCAGATATGGCAGCAGTATTCAATGCCTGAACGAATGGTAAATATATAAATGTGCAAGATGAATTCTGACAAGAAACATTTTCAGGCACCAGGCAATGAATCAACTTTCCTAGCAATAGACGTAGCAATTTATTCAATATAGTCGCTTTTTCATGTCATTGAAAACTTTGGCACAATAAATTTTGAGACCTTATACCATAGAAATATGAGTAAATCTCAGTAGCCACTACCATAACTGACATTGATAGAAATGACATTTGGTTATGTTTTTCATATAAGAAATTCAACCAATAAAATGCTCGAGAATCACACAATGTCTACACTGAGTGGTTCTTACTGTTAAATTTGGAATGATGAATGAGATGTGTGATATGAAAGAGGAGGTGAATTAAGAGTATGAGAATAATGAGGAAATATACCATTGATGTGTTGAGATGAATAGTTTTAGGGAATTATCTATGCGGGGGTCTGCTTCTCAAAGTGACAGTTCTTGGGAAGAATGCTGTCTGAGCTGATTTTTTTACATTTGGAATACAGAGAAAATGAGGATGACTCAACTCCATCGAAGTAGCATGGCATGTCCTAGCTCTAAATGTCTGAACAGGTCCAACAAAAGAATGAAGCTGATTAAAAAATTTGCTATAGAAAAGAAAAGTGTAACAAAAGGCTTAGAGTATTGCATCTCTGGGAAAGACGATACGGAGTGGAGGAAAAGACGATACGGAGTGGAGGAAAAGACGATACGGAGTGGAGGAAAAGACGATACAGAGTGGAGGAAAAGACGATACGGAGTGGAGGAAAAGACTTTCGTCACAAAAAAACACGTATAAGATTTTGAACTCTATTCATGCTAGAAAGTGACTATTTTGCAACACCAGCCCAGATACAGCAGGAATACCACTTTTTTTTTAGTCTAATCTGACTCTTGTAAGGATAAAGCATATCAGGTAAGTGGAGCATTGTTAGCAATAAATTGCATATATGTTCCACTTGAGGGGTATGGAATGAAATGGCAAACCAATAGACCTTTAAAACACAGTGCTTCATTTAGAATGCAACCTTTCACCGTGACCGACTATAAAGAAAATATAGACTGTCTCAGCTAAAATTTGTATACAGTTTAAAACTGTTTTCTAATTTTGACTAACATCATGCTAGGCAACACTATCTTCAAACATTTTACTTGAGAAACATATTCCTATAAAGGAGTGATTTTAATCAGATTTCAATGGTTCTAAAAACTCAGCATTTCAGCCAGAACTTTTGCGTCTTCAGTGAATTATGGAAAATATAACGGATTATTTAACATATAAAACTCGAACTTTATGTCTGTGTCTGCTCGAAACCTACGTTAGCTGTCTTTATATGTACATTAAATTAATGATGTTTAATTAATGCAGATGACACAACTATTTACACCTGTCTTAGTAACAAGTCTGACTGACCCGACAAAGTAAACCTGGTAACTGCACTCAGTGTCTAACTGTGGAAAAAATGGCTTGTCAGTTTTAACGCCTACAAAATAAAAATGCTTTCATTTAATCACCACCTGTCATCAGCATGAATGATGCTAATCTCCAGGGGAGAAAAATTTCTTGTGGCAACGTTTTCAATGACATGAAATGGAGCGACTATATTGAGTAAATTGCTACGTCTATTGCTAGGAAGGTTGGTTCATTGCGTGGTGCCAGAAAATGTTTCTTGTCAGAATTCATCTTGCACATTTATATATTTACCATTCGTTCGGGCATTGAATACTGCTGCCATACCTGGTATGGTATTCCTGCTATTCACAAAAGTCAAAGAAAGTTCTGCAATACGATCGATTCTGACTTGGCATCTCGACTTCAGTCATTTCCCTCTGTCTTTTCTACAAATATTTTCATGGCAACTGTTACGATAAGCTTTTTTCCTTAGGGTCATGAAAATATGAATTCAAGCGTGCGATTAGATTGGAATCCAGGTTTCAGCGTTTTACTGTTGAACTTAATAGATGCAACCGCCTATTCGATTCTAACAGTTTCTTTTCTCGCATTGTAGAACTTCCTTCCGATTTCTTACTTCTGGGTCACCTACAACCTTCAAAAAATTTAAATGCATCATCAATTAAATTGCTCAGTTAATAAAATAAAAGCAATTTTCTTATCCTGAAAGTGCTAACTACCTTAGCATTTCGGTCTCAGCTTGGGAATAAAGGGAAGTAAGCAATGTCTAGATAAAAGTAATTAATGTTGAGATATTAATAGCCTATTTTTGAAGTACGATGCGTATTATAAATTATAATATTATATAATGTCGTATATGAAACCTATTAAATAATTTTAATTAGTAAAATTCTTAAAAAGAAAACCGCGTAGCGGACGAATGTAAAGAGCGTGAACTCGCGCAGTAAAGAGCGGGGGCTTGTGCAGTAAAGAGCGGGGGCTCGCGCAGTAAAGAGCGTGAACTCGCGCAGTAAAGAGCGTGGACTCGAGCAGTAAAGAGCGGGGGGTCGCGCAGTAAAGAGCGTGAACTCGCGCAGCAAAGAGCGTGGACTCGAGCAGTAAAGAGCGGGGGATCGCGCAAAGAAGAGCGTGGACTCGAGCAGTAAAAAGCGGGAATCTCGAGCAGTAAAGAGCGGGGGTGGGAGTTCGCGCAGTAAAGAGCGTGAACTCGCGCAGTAAAGAGCGTGAACTCACGCAGTAAAGAGCGTGGACTCGAGCAGTAAAGAGCGGGGGCTCACGCAGTAAAAAGCGTGAACTCGCACAGTAAAGAGCGTGGACTCGAGCAGTAAAGAGCGGGGGCTCGCGCAGTAAAGAGCGTGGACTCGAGCAGTAATGAGCGTGGACTCGAGCAGTAAAGAGCGGTGGCTCGCGCAGTAAAGAGCGTGAACTCGCGCATAAAGAGCGTGAACTCACGCAGTAAAGAGCGGGGGCTTTCGCAGTAAAAAGCGTGGACTTTTAGGCAATCAGTAAACACTTAAAGCAGACAAATATAAGAGATTTATATTTTACTTAAAATGTAATTTATGAGGGCAGAAATGAGATATTTGAGTTTTTATGGAGGCCGGATAAGAAGAAATATTAATAAGTAATAATAGAAACTTATCTTCGTAGAACACCGTGAAGAACCATTACACTACCTCCACTACAACTAACAGCTTGTGAAAGTTGCGCGATAAGCTAACGGTGTTGCTTTAAAGGGCCCACGCATATGAGTGTGAGATAATATATCTCGGGTCAACCAAGAAGGACTTTCTTAAAGATTTGCTGAATATTATCAATTGTCAATGGAAAATAAGCCACGAGAGACAAAAGTAATTGAAACATAACGCACAAAAAAACAACAAAAATAATGTTACTTCGCCCCCAACCCCACCAGCAAAAAATAAATAAATGAGAAAGGTCAACCTGATAATTTTTATAAGGTTTTTAAAGCGAACAGTTTTTGTAAATTCAACAGTGCATTAACAGTTATAGAAAATCTTTTCAAGCAAATACATGATGAGCAGATGTAAACGCAGAACTATGAGTAGGGACAATTTAAATGAACATTTAATTTCATTAATATATATATACATATATATATATATATATATATATACTCAAAGGCGACAGACTGTTTCATGCTAGGCGAAATCGTCAGGCCACGATTGCATCTAGCATGAAACAACCTGTCGCCTCTGAGTGTTGACTTCAATGTTCACATTTATATTTACATACGCTCTATCACTGATATTGAGCACTTCCCATAAATATAGCACGCTTTAAACTATATTTCTTTATATATATGTATACGCTCGACGCTCTTTCTGATACACCTTGTGTGTCTGTATACACACACACAAGGTGTATCAGAAATACTTCAACAAACTTTGGGTGTTCCTCATATCAAAACAAGGACAAAAGTACAATTTCTCAGTCTTCAACGTTTAACGTGTGTAGTAGTGACTTAACTTAGAAGTGTTCCGTTGGCAGGATATTCATATCGTGAGCAGGTAGATATAATTTTTGCATACGGTGGTGCGATGGTAATGGACACGAGGCTGCACGGCTGTATCAGATTATTTTTCCAGACCGAAGGCAACCGAATCATTCAACCTTTCCCGCTGTTCATTGTTGCATTGCTGAGAGAGGGTCCGTTGCACCACAAACTATGGATCGAGGAAGACCGAGATTCGCTCGTACGCCTGACCAAGAACATATTCTACAGGTTGTCGGAGACAATCCAGGTTTCAGCAAACACCAAGTGGCCCTAGCCTGTTTTACATCACATAATACCGTATGGAGGGTTCTTCAAGAGCAGTTCTTGGATCCATATCATTTGCAACGTATGTAGTGTCTTTCGCCTTCTCATCACATACCACGGGAGAACCTTTGCCAATGGTTTATTGCATGAGTTAGCGATTTAATTTTTTGTCTCTTCAGTCTTGTTTACGAATAATGCAATATTTGGAAGAGATGGAATAACAAATTTACGCAACTGACATTTTCGGGCGGATCGGAATCTCCATGGTTAAATAGAGGTAAGCCACCAGCACCAGTTTAGGATTAATGTGGGGGCTGGAATTGTAAATGACTGTCTGGTAGGCCTATGTGTCCTCCCAGCACGTCTTACAGGAGCTGTCTACAGGGACATAATTTCGAACACACTTCCAGACCTGCTAAAGTATATACCCCTTCTAATAGGAACACACATGTGGTTCATGCATAATGTGGCATATTTTAGTCACATTATTCTCGATACACTGACTGAGGTCTACCATGAAAGATATATGAGTAGGGGAGGACTTGTTCCATAGCCTGCACGTTCCCTCGACCTTAATCTTTTGGATTTTTATCAGTGGGGCCACCCAAAACAAATATTCTGTGCAGTATACATTAAAAATGCAGAGACACTTCATCAACGTATTATGGTGGCCAGCGAAACGATCTGACAACATGTGGGAATATTTTAACGATCCATTAGTCAATGATCCGAAGAGTTCATGCGTTGAAGTAACCGGAGGACATTTTGAACATTTGTTATGAGTTGCTGTGTTGAGGTACAACGAAAGCATTTTAGACATATATATATATATATATATATATATATATATATATATATATATATATATATATGAACATTTTATCCTGTTTTGGTGTCAGGAACCGCCCCAAGGTTTGTAAAAAGTATTTTAGATTTTATCTTGAATTGTATATTTAACAGCGGCTAGCGTAAACATTAAACTTAATAATTCAAAAACGAAGGATTTGGTACATATCTTCATATGGATTTTTGACCTTGATTTGGTGTGAGGAACTTGCCCTCAACGTTTGTAAAAGTATTTTTGATACAACCTATATATATATATATATATATATATATATATATATATATATAATTTTTTTTACCCATTTTTGTTTTTTTGGCCATTGCACACTGAGCGACTATTTTTATTTTTTTAAAAAAGATGGCTTTTATTTGATAGCCTTCCCTATATTTAATGTTCTTTTCAAATTTTGAATAGATCACACTTAATATATGTATGTAAAGAAGCATACATACAAAAACACACGCGCGTACGCACACATATGCAAAACACATACTCACAAACACACACATTAGGCCTGAAGATTGTGTTCCAGCAGGAAACAGATTGTCAGCACTCGGTGTTGACATCAGTGTCCACACTTTTTACATATATATATAAGTACTGAGTAGGTAGGTTTGCATTTCTACCTTATTTCCTTTAATTTTCTTCAGTTTTTGTAAGGGTTTTAGGTTTTAACATGTTGTCCGTTGTTTCCATATATATATATATATATATATATATATAATTAAATAAATAATATTAGTTCTCTGTAATTTGGATCTTGCAGGTGAATTATTATTTTTGACAATGAGGTTAGCAGTTTTAAATTTTTTATAGTCGATAATTTAATTTTCTTGTTTTTGTCAGCAGGAATTTTATATTTCTTCATAATATTTCTAAGTGAAGATTTATATTGTTTATAGGTACAACTTCAGAAAAGAAAAATGAGAATTCTAAATTTGAATGATTCTGTGAATAAAAACTTTAACAACCGCATTTTTCCTCATATATCTTTATTAACTTTCCAATGGGTACTGATGTGTTCTTGTCCAGATTAAGAATTTCTCTAAAAAGAAACAAAGCCTGAGATTGATGATTTGTTTAAATATCAGGAAGTGTCTGGAGGACATTTTTTCACCAATCTATCGTAATTATTCTTAAAATAACAATTTCGCAATAGTAAAATTATCAGATCATATATACTGAAGTCTATGGATATCTCCGTAATTTGTATTTATTCTAAAGCGTTGCATGGTTTTCCTAAAACAACTACAACTTGTCTATAATTTATTGTTAAGTTTTCTGCTACCAGCTATCGTTTTGCATCTAAGTCTATTGTTTTCAAAAATAAATCACAATGCATCAATCTCTAAAATCGCTTCCTTTAACGCCTTTCTTAATTGATGATGTTATCGTCAGTGAAGGAGAAAAGCATTTACAAAACATAGCAATGCCCACAGGAATGTTTCCTAAATTAATCACTCGAATAATTGAGCAAGGTATCACGAGAAACATCACGGTGTCAATTTTGGTACTTCCAGTGATTACAAGAAATATTGTTCGCATTTCCTGGAACCGCCACAACAAATTGCTTCATTCTAGTAGATCAGGCATTATTATGATAAGTTTTTGTCGCTATATTAGTTGTATTAGTATTATGTCCACCTATTTAATATATATATATATATTGATACATAGATGACTTACGTAGTCATTGTTTGATTTTTTTGTCCTGTGAGAGAGGTTTAACATCAACATTAACGATGTCTACCTTTTTACTCTAGTGTAAACTGGACACATATCTACATTTTTGACAGTAGTGTAAACCAGATCTATGTCTACCATTTTTACTGTAGTTTAAACTGGACTTAAGTCTGCCTTTAACCAATGTTTAACTGTTGCCACATGTTTAAACACCACTAATATTTATCTGCAGATTCAAGTTCAAATACAACGAATATTTATTTATAAACTCAAGTAAAGGGTGTTTCCTTAAGACGGATTATATAAAAGGATGTTTCATTAAGACGGATCAAAGTCAGCAGTAAATAAATCAGTGCTATAGGTGAAAATTATATTTATTTCTCTATTGGATCATGTTATTTAAGGGATAGTAATTATGTGTAAAAAAATAATATCACCCAAATGTCCGCCAAATCTGAAAGAAAAAGAAAAAGAAAAAATCATTAGAAGCTTAAACTTAATTCACATTAAAATTTGTCCAAGTTATTGGACCACCCGTCGGTCTCGGGAGACCATAGCTCTGCGTCCGAAGAATTATATCCTCCTCATGGAACAGGCTTGGGCATAGATTTTATGAGAGATCGGTACTTGTCCATGCAGCACGACTCCCTTCTCCACGACATCGATGTTGTAAAAGGGAAAGGTAGAAGCCAATACAGCTTGACACAGGCGTTGTCGCAGGAATTCACAGAAACTGAACATGATATCGAACTCAAGTATTTACCTATAGACTGAAGTAAAACTCACTTACCAACATTAACAATCTTTGCCAATACACTCAAATATAAGCCCTGTTTAATCAAAGAATGCACAATAAATTTCTACATATAGGCACAAGAATTAAAAAAAAAAACTGATTTTGACATTAAATAAGCCAAAGGTGTTGATATAACGTAAAATCCACTTACACAAACCAACATAAAATTTCCGACTAAAAATTATTTATTAATTTATGCAATATATTACTGAAACTTGTTATCCTTGTTTAATAAAATGCATATGTAATGTCTTGGGTAGTCAACAGTTATTTGGCTCTGTGCGTGACTCCGCTGCGTAAATACTGTGTAAATACTACTTTTTTTCTTCGATCGATGGCATTTCAGCACATCTTTTTGGGGTATGATGCTCGGTGGGTGTGGT